ATCACTGCAACATTTGAGCCTCTTGACGCCAACGTCTTTGGCCAATGTTAAACCTGCCAACAGAGCTTCATATTCAGCCTGATTATTAGTAGCTTTGAAATCAAATTTGAGAGCAAGTTCAAGCATCATGTCGTTTGGTCCTTCAAGGATAATGCCAGCCCTGCTGCCTTTCACGTTGGAAGATCCATCCACATGCAGCGTCCAGATCTGTTCATCCATAGGTGGAATGGGGGTGAGCTCGGCAACAAAATCGGCCAGGCATTGGGCTTTCAATGGTCCTCGACTTTCGTACTTTATGCCATATTCGGAGAGCTCGACTGACCAAGTTATCATCCGCCTGGCAAGGTCAGGTTTTCTGAGTATCTGCTTGATAGGGTAGTCCGACTTCACAATGATTTGATGACTTTGGAAATAGGGACGAAGTCGACGAGATGAAACTACCAATGCCAAGACTAACTTCTCTATGGTCTGATATCGCCTCTCGGTATCTTGTAATACCCGGCTGATGAAGTATATGGGAGTCTGTTTTTTGTCATTCTCCTGTACCAGTGCTGAGCTAATAGCGTTGTCGGCTACTGCAAGGTATAGTAGAAGATCGGCTTGGTAGGTCGGTTTGGATAAGATGGGGGGAGCTGACAAGAATTGCTTGAAGTTGGTGAAAACTTGTTCGCATTGGTCACTCCAACAGAATTCTTTTGGCTTTTTGAGTAACTGGAAGATAGGCTTGGCCTTTTCTGCCAGCTTCGGAATAAACCGAGATAGTGAAGCAAGTCTTCCTGCCAACCTCTGCACCTCTTTGTGATTTTTGGGACTTCTCATACTGATCAACACCTGACATTTGTCAGGATTTGCTTCAATTCCCCTACAAGTGATCATAAATCCCAAAAGTTTGCCTCCGTGCACTCCGAAAACACATTTTTTTGGGTTTAATCTCATGTTGTACTTGCGGATTTGCTTGAAAATCTCCTCCAGATCTCGGACATGATTGTCAGGGGACCTTGTCTTGACGACCATGTCATCAACATACACCTCGAGATTACGGCCGATCTGATTGGCGAAGACCTTATCCATGAGTCTTTGGTAGGTGGCTCCTGCATTCTTGAGTCCAAAGGGCATGACATGGTAGCAATAGTTGGCTTGTTCCGTGATAAAAGCGGTGTGCTTCTCATCTGGGGGGTACATCAATATTTGGTTATACCCCGAATAGGCATCCAGGAAACTGAGCATAACATACCCTGAGGCTCCGTCAACCAATCTGTCAATATTGGGAAGTGGGTAAGCGTCTTTGGGACAGGCTTTATTCAGATCGGTGTAGTCGACACACATACGCCATTTTCCATTGGATTTTTTAACCATTACCACATTGGCTAACCAGGTGGTGTATTTGATTTCTCTGATGAACCCGGCGTTCAAAAGCTTTTGCGTTTCGGCCTTGACAACTTCTCTTCTTTCGCCACCAACCTTTCTTTGCTTCTGAGATATAGGTCGTGCCTCTCTATGGATGACTAGCCTATGACAAATGAGGTTGGGATCTATCCCCGACATATCTGCACTACTCTATGCAAAGAGATCAGCATTTTCAGTAAGTATTGTCATGATTTTACCTTGGACATCAGGATCAATATGCTTGGCAATCTTGGTGCACTGGTTTGGCATTTTGCCGATTTGAAATTCAATCAACTCGTCAATGGGATTGGGCCGTTGATCATGCATATCGAATCGGGGATCTAAGTTGGTCGTTTCCTTGATACCGATGTGAGCAATGATAGAGGGAGTTGGCACCTCAGGTTGACAATTTGGGGGTGTAATCTTCAAGCTTTCAGCGTAGCATTTCCTTGCAATTTGTTGATTGGCCTTTACAGCTATTATGTGTCCATCCGTGCCCGGGAACTTCATAGTTAGGTGAGGCGTTGACACGACTGCTCCTAATTGATTCAACGTGGGTCTCCCGATAAAGATGTTATAAGAGGTGGCAGCGTCAACCAACAAATATTTTACCAGGATTCTCCTTGAGTTTTGAGCTATACCAAAAGAGGTTAGCAATTCAATGAAACCACGAGTATGAACTCGCTCACCTGCGAACCCGGCGAGAGGCTCGGAGTATGGTTGAATCATGTTATGAGGAATGTCAAGCTTCAGGAAAGTCGGCCAATATAGAACATCGGCGGAACTACCTTGGTCAATCAACATTTTTTGGACTTCCCAATTGGCCACCTCGACTGAGATGACCATTGGATCGTCTTGATTCAGACTAATGCCTTCGTAGTCATCATCTATGAAAATAATAGGAGGGGTTGGTGTTTCTGACTTAGATCCTGAGTTATGGCAATTGTTGACGTTTTGGACAGTGCGTAGATGTCGTTTCCTGGCCGAGTTGGAACTTCCTCCTCCTACAAACCCTCCGAAGATAGTATGAATAACTCCACGTATGTTGTTTCCTTCGGAGGATTTATCCATATGTTGCGGATCAGCGCTGTTTGTGCTTGGTTTGCTTTCATCACGTGTATTTGTTTGATGATATTGACCTTGTTCAGATCGTCTTTGATAATTTTGATATCGTCTTTGATATCGGCCAGGAAATCGGCCACGTCCCCTTCCGCGTCCTCGGAAGCTCCCACGAGAAGCTTGGCCGCGTTGGATATATTGCCCAAGTTGGCCAGCTTGAATGAGTTCTTCAATTCGATCTTTGAGGCTCCAGCATTCTTCTGTTGTATGTCCGTAGTTTCTGTGATAACGACAATGCTTGCTCTTATCGGCGTTGGCCGGATTGTGTACCGGCGGGGGTAAAGAGATCAAATCTGCATGGTTAGCTTCCTCCAAGATGTTAACACGAGGAGCATTAAGAGGTGTGTAAAATTCATACCTGGGACCTCATGATTGACGATGTCTTTTTGATCTCTGGTCAGTATGAGCCTTTGAGCTTTCCCTGATACTAGATTCGCCCTTAGTGGTGAGACTGTCACGGACAGAATTACGGAACTCGGCATGTTCCTCCATTTGAATGTAGCCGGCTGCGCGTGCTTTGAGTTCATCCATGCTCTGCGGCTAACGTCGGCAAAGACTGTCAACAAAGGGCCCAGGTTTGAGTGCCATAAGCATGGAATGAAGGGAAACTTCCGGATTGAGATTACGAATTTTTATGGAAACGTTGGCAAAACGTTCCATGAAATGTCTCAAAGACTCATCATCTTGTTGTCGCAAATTTGAAAGCGCGGCCGATGTGATATGGTGTGGTCTGCTGGTGGCGTACTGGGCGGAGAAAAGTCGTACCAAGGTGTTGAAGTTATCAACCGATCTGGGTGGTAGTTGGGTGTATCAACTAAGGGCAGTGCCTTTGAGGGAAGTTAGAAATACTCGGCACATGATGGCATCGTCGTTCGTGTAAAGGTTGATTTGAGTGATATAGGCATCGATGTGCTCATCGGGGTCTGTAGTGCCATCATAGCGCTCAATGTTCAACGACTTCCAGGAAGTTGGAAGGGGAACTTCCATGATTCCATCAACAAAGGGGTGTCGACAAACCGAGTGGTGATCTTCAACCGGACGACTGATATGGGTATGTTCGGAGCGATGAGTCCGAGTTGGGTTTGATGGATAAGTAGGATCTGGGGAAGAATGATGTTCTTCGGTGGCAGGGGAAACATGACTGGCATGATGTGTGCGTGGTGGCTGATGTTGCTGCCATTGGTTGATGTTCTATGATCTCCTCGTCCGAGCGTCTTCGAGGTACCTGCCAAAGGGACTCCGAAGATCAAGTCAGTTGTGTATCCAATATCGCGTACTGCTTATATCATTACCTATCGTGGGTTTTTCGAGTAACCGTGTGAACTGCTATATGGTTATTTTCTGAGGGTTCTCCTTGGTTGAGTCGTGTTCGATGTTGTTGATATGCCGAGGTGTATCACCGATCTCATTCTTCTGATGTGGCACCTCAGCATTGGATATATTTACTTTAGTCGAACTAAACTAAGTGGTCATCTCGGTCAAGGTTGTTTTATGAACTCGGTTTAGCTCGGCCTTGAGCCAAGTTGGTACACAAACTCGGTTGAGCTCGGCCTGAGCCAGGTTGGTACACAAGCCCGGTTGAGCTCGGCCTAAGCCAGGTTGGTACGTGATAATCTTGACAGTAGAAGGTTCTCTAGTACACTTCCCCCCAAGCCCGAGGATGTAAGATGAAGGGATTTGGTTGGGTCACATTCGAGAGGCATGTCTAAGGAGACCTTATCCTTAGGGGGAATTCTAGATGCGAGAATGACTGAGTATATTTATTTTGGACGAGTGCATGTTCGGACAAGGGGGTCTCGCTACAATTGTAGGCCGAATAGTACATCCTCTTATGCGTGGCTAGATGTTTTAAAGTGTGCATGTGATGCTAGGTGGCTAAGTAATGGGTACCCCTATGGCCAGGTTTGTAACGTATGTAGGCGTATTAGTTGGCCGAATGGTGCATTAAAAAATTGTAACAAATTGGTGATTTAAGGCATGCACGTATTTGGATATAGCCAGTAAGAAAACCAAATTAACGTGACCTTTAAACCAAGATGTATGGCATAAAATTGAGACATGGAGTAAGTTGGTTACGTCGGCATTTGTTTCGTGACTAGATGGGCTTTGGGGTATTCGGATGCTAGTGTGGCCAAAAAGGTGTCTTTTCATGCAAATTTGATTTCTGGACTCTTTCAAAATTAATTGTCCATGTTAGTCCATATTTAAACATGCAAATGGAATCCCCTGAGCCATGCAAATGGATTGCGTATCTTTATTTTGTTGGGTGTGCGCATTATATATATATATAATTTTATTTCATTAGTTTTCAATCTAAACTTTCTCTTTCCTTCGTAAAAGCTAAAAGAAAGGAATATCCACATATATTGAGATGCTCCAAGTCACTTCCCTCTTCTCGAAGTAATATTCAGTTGCTCGCGTGGCCGAGGCATCTTTTCACGTGAGTTTCGAGTGAGTACTCGGATTTTAATTTGACCGAACAGGTGCTGCTTCCTACTTCTCGAAGGGGTATTCGGTTGATCACGTGGCCGAGACGTCTTTTCGTATGTGGGTGGCTTTTGCATTACTATTCGGCTTTTTATTTGGCTGAAGAGGTGCTGCTTTGTACTTCTCGAAGGAGTATTCGGTTGATCACGTGGCCAAGGCGTCTTTTCGTACGTGGGTGGATTTTGTATTACTATTCGGGTTTTTATTTGGACGAAGAGGTGCTGCGCCTCGTTCGTGGTCGAGTGCTCACGGGAGTCGGTTTGTGTTTGAGGTCTAGTGAGTATTGCAAATATCAAAGGGTTTCTTCGTGCCTCGTTATTTGAGATTTGTCGTATTAAAATGGTGTAAGGAAGCGTTATAGCTATCATGAAGTTGCATAGCTTTAGGAAATTGCGCCTTTATTTTATTCACATAAGCCTTTTATTGCTACTTTTTGGGCGTATATATATACATATAGGAGTTTAATTCCCTTTCGTCGCGCATGTTCTTTGTACCGAGATATCATCTTCATCTCGTCGTGCTCTTCCTTTATTAAGGTATGTCGGTGTGTGTAGTGTGGTTGGGTCTTTCGGGTACACATGGCTATAGTCGAGGAATTGGGCGTGTTTACGGGGTCTTTGTCCGGTACTAAGAGTTCGGCCGATGTTGGGGAAATTGAGGTATCTGCGAGTTCATCGAGGCGGCTCACATAGAGTAATGCTACGGAGAGCACGGGTGACTCCTTCGGATCGGGGCTTCCTAATGCCGACATGGATCCTCAGGATTACAAGCAAAAGTTCTCACCGTAAGGTTCCTGAATATGAATGGGTCGACGCGGAGGTAGCGGCCTATTACTCCCGTTTTTATGAGAGGGTTGTTGTGGAATGCTTACTCAAGAGGTGTCGTTTGACTCGTTGGGAGGATACAGACCCTTACCCCATAATGCTTCGCCGACCCCATAATGCTTCGCCGTTGTAGGGCCGAAGGTCTTGGTGAGGTTGATAAGGTCTTCCTCGCAAAGCAAGGAGGCCAAGGTGATTTTTTTTTATGTATGAGTGTGTTTAGGGATCTAGGTGTGTCCCTTCCTTTTGATGACTTTCAGATGGGTGTACTCCGGGTTTTAAACTTGCGCCAACTCAGCTTCATCCGAATGGATGGGCAGTAATGCAAGCATTCCGAGTCCTTTGTAAATATCACTACATCGAGCCAAATTGTTGGACTATTTTTGTACTCGCCCTTCCACCAAGACTGTGAAATGGGTGTCCCTCATAAGGCATGTAGATCTTCCTCTATTCAAGCCATTTACGTCTTTGTTTAAAGGATTCAAATCTGGCTTCTTGAAGGTGATGATCGACCTGATAGCTGGAAGGAATTACTTTTATGATCGGGAAGGAACCTCCTTGTTCCCCTTTTATTAGACAAGGGTTCCCTGCAAATATGACGAGTACCCGACAAATATGCTTACTCCCTTTGAGACCATGACCCTAACATTGTTAAACACGTTGCCTCGAGAGATCCTGGCCAGATTTATAGTTTTATTACCCAAGTCTTCCCGACCTCGTTACGATTTAAATGGTACGTGCTAACTTCCTGCTAGTTATGTTTGCGTGTCATTCTAATTGTTATTGTTGTGTTACAGGCTTTATGGCACAGAAGGGTGTAGGGCTTTCATATAGGCAGGCAATTAGGAATCGTGCCCCGACCAATGCACTTGCGGAGGACCATCAAAGCGTGGTCGTAGACAGGGTTGCAGTGGTTGCTGAAGCGCGCTCCCCTCCTCGGGATATCCCCCTACCCGAGTCTCAAACTAGGAGGAAAAAAGACAAATGGAAAAGAAAGAGGGGTGATTCCTCCCGGCCGAGTGATGATGGTTTGAGGCTACACAAAATTTGACGAACCGAAGGTTCCCATTCGGACATGGCCATTCCTTCGACCCTTATTGCTCGAGACTTCTTGGCAGAGGAAGTTCGACCTTCTCGAATGATGGCTCCTGATTTGCTATCTGAGGGGGGTCGTCGAATGCTTAACTCTGCTAGTCCCTCGGCTCAATGGGCCATGACTTGTGAGCTACAAGTGCGCGCATCGGCAATTCTCTGAAAGTTGGCTTTGGAGCCAATATCTGAAGCAATGAGTTTGAAGAGCTCTTTGGATGAGACCCGATGTTCATTGCAACACTCCGTCGAGGCTCATGCCGCGACTTCAGCTGAAAAGCTTTGACTTGAGTCCGAGATTGCTAGACTTAAGGAGGCTATGGATGACATGGAGGGATGGTTGGCAGCGACTGAAGAGGCTGAGAGGATGAGGGCCGAGGAGGTGAAAAAGGCTTTTTATTTGGCCGAAAAGGTGTTGCTTTGTACTTCTCGAAGGAGTATTTGGTTGATCACGTGGCCGAGGCATCTTTTCGTACGTGGGTGGATTTTGTATTACTATTCAGGTCTTTATTTGGCCGAAGAGGTGCTGCGCTTCGTTCGTTCGTGGTCGAGTGCTCACGTGAGTCAGTTTGTGTTTGAGGTCCAGTTGGTATTGCAAATATCAGAGGGTTTCTTCGTGCCTCTTTATTTGAGATTTGTCGTATTAAGGTGGTGTAAGGAAGCGTTACAGCTATCATGAAGTTGCATAGCTTTAGGAAATTGCACCTTTATTTTATTCACATAAGCCTTTTATCGCTGCTTTTTGGGTGTCTATATATATAGGAGTTTCGCCACTCCTCCTCTTTTGGCCAAGCCCGATCCTCATTTAGATCTTACCATTTACATAGCAGTCTCAAACAAAGCAGTTAGTGCCATCTTGGTATAGGAACAAGAACAAATACCAATATACTTCGTCAGTCGAGTCCTCCAAGAAGTCGAAACAGGATACCAACATCTCGAGCGGATAGTTCTAACTTTAGTGCAGACAGCCCGAAGACTCGACCATTATTTCCAAAGCCACAAGATCGTCTTCAGAATAGACGGCCCAATAGCCAAAGTGTTACAAAAGCCCGAATTAGCAGGCCAGATGATGGCATGGTCAGTAGAGTTATCCCAGTTCGACATCTGCTTCGAAGCACGGGGACCCATCAAGGCTTAGAGAATGGCCGATTTTCTAAAAGAATTCCACCCTGACAACACCCCAAAAGTAGTGGCCTGGACGTTACATGTGGATAGATCATCCAATCAATAGGGCAGTAGAGCAGGCATCATACTAGAAAGGCCAGGACAAATGTTGGTAGAACAGTCGATACGTTTCGGCTTCAAAACCTCAAACAACCAAGCTGAGTATGAGGCGTTGTTGGACGATTTGCGATTGGCACAAGAACTAAGGGTACAAAGAGTTAATTGCTAGAGCAATTCCCAGATTGTGACCGAAGAGGTCAATGGCACATTTCAAATCAAGGAGCCCACGTTACTCCGGTACTTTCATGCATTTCAAAAGGTTAAGTCTAACTTTGAAGAGGTCTAAGTACATCACACACCAAGAGAACTCAATGCGAGGGCTGACCGATTAGCCAAGCTAGCAAGCAGCAAAAGGGCAAACCAATTGCACAGTGTGATTCAAATCTGGTTTCTTGAAGGTGATGATCGACCCGATAGATGGAAGGAACTACTTTTATGATCGGGAGGGAACCCCCTTGTTCCCCTTTTATTGGACAAGGGTTCCCTGCAAATATGACGAGTACCCGACAAACATGCTTACTCTCTTTAAGACCACAACCCTAACGTTGTTAAACACGTTGCCCCGAGAGATCCCAGCCAGATTTCTAGTTTTATTACCCAAGTCTTCCCGACCTCATTATGATTTAAATGGTACGTTCTAACTTCCTGCTAGTTATGTTTGCATGTCATTCTAATTGTTATTGTTGTGTTACAGGCTTTATGGCACAGAAGGGTATAGGGCTTTCATATAGGCAGGAAATTAGGAATTGTTATCCGACCAATGCACTAGCGGAGGACCATCGAAGCGTGGTCGTAGACGGGCCACAGTGGTTGTTGAAGCGCACTCCCCTCCTCGGGATATCCCCCTACCTGAGTCTTAGACTAGGAGAGAAAAGACAGAGGGAAAAGAGAGTGGTGATTCCTCCTGGCCGAGTGATGATGGTTTGAGGCTGCACAAAAGTCGACAAACCGAAGGTTCCCATTCGGACCTGGCCATTCCTTCGGCCCTTATTGCTCGAGACTTCTTGGCACAGGAAGTTCGACCTTCTTGAATGATGGCTCTTGATTTGCTATCTGAGGGGGGTCATCAGATGCTTAACTCTACTAGTCCCTCGGCTCAATGGGCCATGGCTTGTTTGCTACAAGTACGTGCATCGGCAATTCTCTAAAAGTTGGCTTTGGAGCCAATATCTGAAGCAAGGAGTTTGAAGAGTTCTTTGGATGAGACCCGACGATTATTTCAACACTCCGTCGAGGCTCATGCCGCGACTTCAGCTGAAAAGCTTCGACTTGAGTCCGAGATTGCTAGACTTAGGGAGGTTATGAACGACATGGAGGGACGGTTGGCAGCGGCTGAAGAGGTTGAGAGGATGAGGGTCGAGGAGGTGAAGGAGGCTTTGGGTCGTGAGGCCAAAACCAAAGAAGAAGCTGCTACAACATTGAGGGATCTTCGCAAGGAGTGTTAAAATCAGATTGTGCATGAGCATGAGGCAGGTTTCATGCATGCTGTCCGATAAGCTACCTATTTCTGTCATGTGCCTTCCGATTTCACCTTCAAGGTGACTAAGGATTTCTACAAAGGCACTTATATGGATTTTACTAAGATGCCAGGGGATGCTAAGCCAGATGATATTGCCCCTGCTCGTTGAGGCAACCGAGGGGGTCCTGGAACAACCTGCCAAGATGACGAGGAGACCCATTATGGCCCTGGTGATGACCACACCATCTCCGGTATGTGAGATGGGTCAGGTTCCTCCCTCTTGGCTGTTTGTAGAAGCCTTAGGCAGGAAAGTTGACTTTTATTTTTTGTGGGGTTGGGTGTTATGTTGTGCTTTTTAAACCTTGTCGATGTATGTGTATTGGAGCTTTGAATGCTTTTATTTTGTGGATACCCAAGCGATTGCCAAACTTAATGAGAATCTATTGTGTATCATTTATTTGTGTTTCTTCGTTAAAATTGAAGTTATCATTAAGTAGTTGTATATGTGCGGTACTGGAGAAGGGTCCTTTAATCAGCCTAGCCAAGCACCTGAAGTTGGAGGGTGCTCGAGAGGGTTTACTTCATCATCCTTACCCAAGTGCATGAGCTTGGAAAGGGTATCCGGTGCTCAACCTTGGCCGAGTGAGGGTGCTCGGGAGGGTTTACTTAACCATTCTAACCTAAGTGCGTGAGCTTGGGAAGGGTATTCGGTATTCAACATTGGCCGAGTGAGGGTACCTAGGAAGGTTTACTTAATAATCCTAACCCAAGTGCATGAGCTTGGCAGAGGATTGTAGTGTTCGTCCTTAGCCGAGCGAGGGTATTCGGGAGGGTTTACTTCATCAACCTTGACCAAGTGCTCTACTTGGGAGGGATTGTAGTGTTCGTCCTTAGCCGAGTGAGGGTACTCGGGAGGGTTTACTTAATCAACCTTGACCAAGTGTTCTACTTGGAAGATATTGTAGTGTTCGTCCTTAACTGAGTGAGGGTACTTAGGAGGGTTTACTTAATCAACCTTGACCAAACACTTAAGCTTGGGAGGGATTCGACTTTATTCTAGACGACTATGGATTTTGAAAGATGCACAATAAGCTATGAATGAAGATTACTCAGGTGATTTTCATTAATAGTGGTGCCTCGTTAAAAACCTCCTCGGTAAAACCTCTTACATTTTTCTTTTAAGAGGGTAAAACCCGAGGTAGGAAAAGAGTGCACCGATTGATACATTGAAGAGCTTAGTTGTAGTAGTATTTCAAATGAGATGCATTCCATGTGCGAGGGATGGTTCGTCCTGATAGTTCTTCAAGTTTGTAAGCGTCATTATTCAGGTTATGTAGTACTCTGAATGGTCTGTCCCAATTAGGTGCGAGCTTTCCTTGAGCCCTGTCCTTTCTTGCTTCTCTTGTAACCCTCCACACCAAGTCTCCTGGTTGGAAATCTCGTGGCCTTACTTTAGTTCTGAATCTTCTAGCCAATCTTTTTCTACATGCTTCCATGTTGATGAGTGCTTGGTCTCTAGCTTCATCAATCAGGTCCAACTCTACGCTGAGTTCTTCAACGTTATTTTTTCATTATATTGGCGCTGCCTCAGCGAGGGTTCTCCTACCTCAATAGGGATCATGGCATCAGTTCCGTATATGAGCCAGAAAGGGGTTTCTCGGGTAGTACTCTACGGGGTGCAACGGTAGGCCTAAAGTATTTCGGTAGCTGGTCTGTCCAGGCTCCTTTGGCTTGTTTGAGGCACTTTTTTATTTCCCTTAAGATGACTTTATTTGTCGCCTCTACTTGTCTTTTGGTTTGAGGGTGTTCCATAAATGTTAATTTGTCTTTGATGTGCCTTCCAAAAATTGGTTGAACCGTCGATCTATGAACTGAAAACCGTTATCGGTGATTAAGGCATACGGGATTCCAAAGCGAGTGATAATGTTTTTCCAGACAAACTTCTGGGCATTGGCTGCTATGATGGTGGCCAATGGTTCAGCCTCGATCCATTTAGTGAAATGATCAATTGCCACGAGCATGAACTTGACTTGTCCTTTTGCCTTTGGAAATGGCCCCAAGATGTCCATGCCCCAAACGAAAAAGGGCCATGGTACTGTGATGAAATGTAATTCTTCTATAGGCTGTCGTATTAGTGGACCGTGTTGTTGACATGATTGACATTTTTGTATGAGCCCAGCACAATCGGAGGTGATGGTGGGCCAGTAGTATATAGCCCGTAAGATCTTGGATGCCATGGTTCGGGCTCCCGAGTGGGTTCCACATGCCTTCATGGATTTCTCTGATTACATATTGTGCTTGCTCTGGTGTTAGGCATTTTAGCAGCGGGGCGGCAACACCTCTTTTATACAAGTCACCTGCTATCAAGGTATATCGTGCTTCCTTAGTTCGTACCTTCCTTGCCTGGAGCGGGTTTGCTGGTAGATCACTAGCTGAAAGGTATGTGATGATTTCTGTCATCCAGTTAACATTTCCTTCTTGTGTATGTAGACATTCTTGTTCGGCGATGCTTGGATTTGATATCTCCTGGTGTATCACATTGTGCAATTGGTTTGCCCTTTTACTGCTTGCTAGCTTGGCTAATCGGTCAGCCCTCGCATTGAGTTCTCTTGGTGTGTGATGTACTTAGACCTCTTCAAAGTTAGACTTAACCTTTTGAAATGCATGAAAGTACCGGAGTAACGTGGGCTCCTTGATTTGAAATGTGCCATTGACCTGTTCGGTCACAATCTGGGAATCACTCTAGTAATTAACTCTTTGTACCCCTAGTTCTTGTGCCAATCGCAAACCGGCCAACAACGCATCATACTCGGCTTGGTTATTTGAGGTTTTGAAGCCGAAACGTATCGACTATTATACCAACATTTGTCCTGGCCCTTCTAGTATGATGCCTGCTCCACTACCCTGTTGATTGGATGATCCATCCACATGTAATGTCCAGGCCACTACTTTTGGGGTGTTGTCAGGGTAGAATTCGTTCAGAAAATTGGCTATGCTCTGAGCCTTGATGGGTCCCCGTGCTTCGAAGCGAATGTTAAACTGGGATAACTCTACTGACCATGCCACCATCCAACCTGCTAATTTGGGCTTTCATAACACTTTGGCTATTGGGTTGTTTGTTATGACGACGATCTTGTGGCTTTGGAAATAATGACGGAGTCTTCGGGCTGTCTGCACTAAAGCTAGAACTATCCGCTTAAGAAGTTGGTATCGTGTTTCGGCTTCTTGGAGGACTTGACTGACGAAGTATATTGGTATTTGTTCTTGTTCTTGTACCAAGACGACACTAATTGCTTCGTCCGAGACTACTATGTAAATGATAAGATCTAAATGAGGATCGGGCTTGGCCAAAAGAGGAGGAGTGGCGAGTGTTGTTTTGAATTATTGGAATGTTGACTCGCATTCGTTGGTCCATTGAAATTTACTAGCCTTCTTTAATAATGTCATAATTGGACAAGACTTGTCGGCCATACGAAGTAGGAATCGGGCCAACGAGGCTATCCTCCCTGCCAGTCGTTGGACTTCCTTTATGTTCCGAGGACTCCGCATGTCGATGATGGCCTGACACTTGTCTGGGTTGGCCTGTATTCCCCTTTTAGAAAGCATGACCCCCAAAAACTTCCCCCCAGCCACACCAAAGGTACATTTGGCTGGGTTTAGACGTATGCGATGTTTTATAAGAGAATATGTATGTTACCAAACAATACACAAACCGTACAAAGAGGGTAAAAAAACTTCCTAAACAAGAGGTAAGGACACTCTTTTTTATCCTTTACTCCAAATATGATATTAGTTTCCTTCCTTCATAGTTGGAGTTGCAAAATTGTTTACCTCCCACAACTAAAATGGCAGTAATTCAAATTATAACTTAATAGGATTTGCATTTTTGGAAAAAGCATAGTATCAAAACCCAATAGGCAAACACTATATAAAAATGACAAAAAAAGAGAAGAAATTAAGTTAACTTATAGATTCAAAAAATAAAAAAGAAAAAAATATATACAAAAACTAAATCTATTCTATTTCACCTAAGTTATACATTTTGATGATAAATAAAAGCCTTATAATCAAAGTTTATCATATGTATTGTTCTTACCGGAAATCTACTATAGAGCTGATCCGCTAGGTAAGATCGGTGAGCCTCCTTCACTGGTACGCTGGTGCTCCAAGATGGGGGTGATACCTGCAAAAGAGACTCTGATGCTAAAGTTAGTGTTTATGTGAGTATTAGTCTCGTATAAGTAATGCAGGTACCTTGGTGTGATTTAGGGTTGCCTTGGGTCTTGGGCCTGAGATAAGATGTAATATGATTAGATAACGGATCTCGTCAGGGGTGAGATCCTCGGGAATCAGCTACGATTCACATAAATGTCGAGCTGATGTCACGCAGTGCGCGTCCGAGATCGGCTTGCGCTGTGGTGCCGAGCTCGGAGCTCGGCTTCGCAATACGGATAATACACTAGCCCCTAGAGCTCCGAAGACTGTAGGTCGAGGAGTTAAGACCGAGCTCGCTGGGGGGAAGTGACCTTTCGCGTACGTTTGCTTGCTAAGGTGCCATGTGTCGCAACTGTTCATTTCCCGGAAACGTGCAAGTGGCGCGTTAAGGGAAATGACGGTTATGTAATGATGATGGTCTTGCAATTAATGTGTTGTCAGGCGTGCCCCTATGTTGACACGTGGCGTGGCCGTTTTGAATTTGGGAGAAAACCTATTTTCTCTCACTCGCGCCTCTTCACCTTTCAATTTACTCTTTTCATTTTCTTCCTCCCTTGGCTTCTTGCGCAAGCTGCTTTGTGCACTTTCGCTTCCGTCCAGTCTCCGTCGCTGTTTTCACAGTTTCTGCCGCCGTTTCCGGTAACCCCGCCATTATTAGGGTTTTTTTGTGAGGAAGAGTACCAGGTACTTCTTTTCTACAGTTTTCTTTTTTCTTTTCTCCAGATCTTCTTTTTCTTCTTCCCAAATCTTCTTTTTCTTTAATGGCTGGTGGAAGTTGTGCCAGTTCTTCTGCGCCTGCCAGGGGCAAGGCGCGCGGCAAGGCGGCGGCTACC